TTCTTCCAGATAAAATATATCAGTGACAGGAAGAACAGTCACTGGATCAGCAGATCACTAGTCTGCTGATAGGTCGCTTAAGCATCGAGCAAGTATTTAGCCATTAAATCGCACTAGCGTTTCAATCGAAAAAGAGCCAACCTAGTTAAACCTGCACCAACTAAACTGTAATCTAACGCTCTGCCATACCACCTTTTTTTCCAGTTATCAGCTACTAATGCTTTTATTCCACTTTCTCCAATTCGGTCCAAATTCCGAACAGCTCTATTTCCTGGTAGAAAAACGCATGAAAGTGTTGCTTCCTTTTCAACTGAAAAGCCTACACGCCCAAAGATATGGATCGCTAATACCAAATTAGCTCATCTTGCTTAAATCAGTTCATCTATATACTATGCCAACAGTTTCGTAGCCATATCTTCAGACTAACTACTTCAAAGTATTTCACGTATCTAGGTCACTTGTTTGTTCGTATCTCACTTGCGAGCAACAAGACCAAAGAATATTATTATTGTCAGGTAAGAATCCAGTTAATAATGAGCTTTTTATTTAACCAGTTCCGTTTGAATTGGGCTCATACGGTAGTGCTGTACTCGAGTGAGTCTATTATAAGCCGCAAAAATGATCGATTATTTGATCATATCATTTCTAAATGGTGCCTAGGGCAGAATTCGTTGAAGACTATACGACTATATGGATCATAAATGTGTCGGGACTCTATTTTCTTTCTTTTTCGCTCATACCTACACGTGTAGCACATGTAAATAAATGCTGGGAAAATGCTGGGACAATAGTGGAAATTGTGCAAGGAGATTGTCCTCAGATAAGCACCGCATCAACTGACTCTTTAAACAACAGGAGTCTTCTTGAGCGGCTGGGAGATGTCTTTATAACACAGAAAAATGAAACCGATTCAACTGAGAGACATCAGCGACCCAATCAGTTATAAATATACGATTGTCTTAGATGATGGTCACAAGTCTGAATGCAACTTAATTTCCTATATTCTACAGAAGCTCGCATTACGAAATGATAGTCTTCAGACAGAGTAAAGCAAATAAATCGATAAATAAATAGTGCTGGGAAACATGTATTAATAATCACTAATAAAATCAAAGTGTGACTTGAATATTCACTTGAAAAAAGGTACGTCTGCATTTCGATGCATACATATCGTATCTCCGATTTAACACAAGGCTTTTTTTTTACACTTTTTTTTTTCATTTTCTGCTTTTGGCCATGACATTTGTGAAACATCCTTAAGTAATATAGATAAGTACGGACAATATAAACGCCTACGTATCCATGCTATGCGTTTTTTCGCAGTCGATTTGTCATGAAATCACCTTTGTTTAAATTATCACTACAGTATGGAGATATTTGAAAATTCAATGCAAGCTAAAAAATCACATTATTCAATACACGACTCTGCTATACGTCACAAGTATAATGATTCGATATAGCAGAACAGTGTTTGTATGGGTTGACGATTAGCCAGTTGAAATGGCACTTCTCCATGTTCCTTCACAGTGTTCCCGTAGAATCACAAAATGCTCTCGCTGCAAGCTAACATCGCAATACGGTTCTTTCATAATACGAGCCAAAGCCTGTAGTATCACTCTCAAGAGAACAATGTAATCTGTATGTGCAAAACACAGCGTATCGTATTCTCCATGTACACCTAGTTAGCTAGCATATGCACCCAGACTTCTCAATTTTGGTACCTGGTTTATTCTGTCTCTCCGCCGCTACTGTTAACTCAGTCAAGACTGATCTATGGAACAGCGAAATTTGAATGTTTGGTTAAAACTGTTTCCGTTGATATTTCGAACGACTGTCGGATTTCCGGCAATAACAGACAAACTCTTGTTTACTATTGCTAGCTGTCATTCAGTTTTCGACACCTTTATAGCAATATACTTGCGTATCTTTTGTATCCTTTTTTTTTAATAATATCTATTTGGCATAGGGTGAACTTTTTTTGCTTATACATAATATCATCTAATCGTCGAATAGTGATAACAGTAACAATAATAATACTGAAAGCTTCTACGAAACAAGGACGACCTGTTGCCTTCCATTCATTATTTCGATTCCATGAAAACCATTTATTAGTAACGAAATACTAAACTATTTGAATATGTCTCAAGTGGGCGTTTATCTTGGGTCGGCTTTCCTGAACGTCGATACGTATGATAGGTGAGAAACGGCCTGCACGATGCCTATTGCACGCAGCCTTTGTTTAAAATCAAAAAAACACTATATGGAGCAGTTGGTCACATACACAGTGTTCTCCTAATTTGGTCCAAACTCCACCGGCATCAGCGGCCATTATGTTGTGCTCTAGTTCGGAATAACTCGTATTCATTATATATGTATTATTAACTGTCGGCGGTTGGGTCGAGGTCGATTGAACCGTCCCACACCTATTACCGGCACGAAGTCACAGCACATGCATCAGGAGTTTTCTACACAGACTAGAGAAAATTGCCGTTTTTAGTAAAGTATGTAGTGCATACCACGTATACGAACAATACGTGTCCCAACGCTGATTAGTTGGGTATATTTTTTTAAATACGAAATCATTTCAGTCTTTCCACAAGGAAAACATCCAAGCTATCTGTCTGCGTCTTACATTTTTAAAAAGCACACTAAAATCGGATACCTCCGTAGAACACTTCAGGCTCGATTTTTAATACAAGTAACAAATAAGAATAATATTGAAAATTACAAAAGGAGGTTGTCCGTATAACAGGCATACTACACGCTTTATATATAAATGCAATATATATATGTATAGTTTACATGCTTATAAGGCATAATGCAAATTTAGGTAATGTTTTGCCTTTTGAAGCCCTTATAAGGGACGTAGCAGTAGCAGCTGAGTCAGTTAAGTAAAAGTTTCGAATTTTAGGTACCATCGCTGGACACTATTTCAGAAAGCTGGCCCCTTTCAGGACGAAACGAGGCCCGGTCTCGAACTAGACCGTCTCACTTGTCCCTTACTTTAGACAAAACATTTTCCAATTACATTATTTCCGGCACCGAATGACCAAGCTGGTTTCCAAATCGAAGAAGTCGCTAGTCTGAATCCATTAGCGCGCGTGCAAGTACTTAATGCCAGAGCGTAATATACAACTGTAAGAGCATCTGTATAAAGCAACGTGACCTTATTTTGTGCAGAATGAGTTATCAATTGTTCGACTATTATATTCAGAATTATGTTACAAACAAATTATTCTTTTTGAATCACTCATTGTCACTGATAGAAAATACTAGCCATTTTTAGATCACCTAGCAAAGCTTAGCTTTTAAAGTAGAGACTACTAGTCAAGTCTCGGACACCATATATTAGATCTCCTCAATATCCTTGCCATGTTTCTGATTCCATTTCTAGGCCAGCAACCAAAACGGGCGGGACTAGATGTTGCATAAAAATTATCACATTCCAGTCTGCCCATAAATTTGCCTTTAGCTTGCATTTATTCCCGCCGTCCTACTCTTGAAGTTGCTATGCCCAACTACTTTAGGACTGAAGCAACAATATTGTCTCTCGCAGATCTGACTTTCCCCAACATGACCTTAGAGCAGAAAATAAAAGCCGCTACGATTCGCACCACTATTACGACTGCTATTACCAGCCATTAGTCAATGGGTGCTTCTTTCTCTACGGTGACTCATCACGTCGAACAAAACCGAAACGCTCGTAGCACTCGCTTGAAGCATTTTATTGTGTGCTGTACTTTATGTCTAAACCCTTGCGTCAGCGACTGACTCTTTGAATACTCATACCTAACTATTAGTATTCTGACATGTACGATTCAGACGAACTGTAACGATGACCAGTTACTTATGAGGGTCACACATTTCTTAAACAGACAACAGGAACTGAAGCGGCAGTGACAGCTACAACGGCTGATTGAAACGACACGATTTCACAGCCGCTGCTGCGGACATTGCCGCTACTTCTGTGCCGCCTCTAGTAACAGTAAAACGAGCCGTTCCTCAATTTTAGGGATAAACAATTTTTCAGCCTGATAAACCGGTTAGTTCATGCTATTGCAGTCACAGAAGCAAATGCCATGAAAGATGTCATCGCGCATGTCACTTCTCGCTACAGTACGAAAACCTGACGACGGGATACACATAATTTCATTGTAGAATTTATGGCCAACTAAAAACAATCTTTATGCATATAATTTGATCTTGTTGAAATTGAGCGGCAATTGAATGTATTGCGCCAAAGACAACAATGTCCATTGTAAAGCAAATGAGACAACGTAAATGTGCAAAGCCTAATAGAACCTAAGCTAGTTAATGGTCTAAGTAATTTAAATCCATTTCTATCGTTTTTAATGAGACCTTGATTATTCTTTTTCTTCAAAGAAGAAAAACGCCTCTCTAACTAGAGACAAAGTGTGAATAAACAGCAGACATTGTTTTTTCAAAACACCGTTCTATACATGAGGTTAATTCTAGGGGAACCGATGATAAACGGGCTACATACACATATTTCACAATTATTATTTGGCATTAACTGTCGAGTGCTCAATAAATACCTGCCGATTCGATGAGGGACACCTTTGCATCAAAAAACCACTTGTGGTTCGCTTGTTCGACAGTATAAAATAGGGGATTGAAAATGAAATTTTCATTAAATCTCCTGTCGCATTAATAATAATTTGTGCCTCTTTAACGGTATTACCTAATTTTTGCTATAGTTATATGGCAGGTCTTTTCTACTTGTGTTCCACCATGCCAGATATAAGTTTTACTTACTTGTTTGGATACATGCATAATGAAAACAGTATACGTGAGATGCACATAAGTTATTCGCACATAAGATAGTGGGCATGGGGAGCCACCTAGCGGTCAATCCTTTTCATGGGTAGCGCTACTTGCGTGTTATAATACTATATACTTATAATCAACCTTTATAATTAGCTATAAACTATGGATATAAACACGTCCACGAGTCCAGGCAGCTGGAATACTTCGCCTACCTGTAACACTGTCTCACAGGGGGGAAAACGTAGGCACCACGCCGTAACCTTCCGTTAACAACGCGTGTACTAGTCGAATTATTCTGGGAGGATGAGGTCCATCGTCAGAAGCATCGACGATGATGATGATACCGACGACGTCGGTCATACAGTCCGGTTACTAATAGGCTCACGCAGGTCGTCATCAGCTGTTATTCTCTTTTGTTACGACGTTGAAGGTGCCACACCAGATAACAGACACAAAGTTATTATCGGCAGCGTCGATAACAAAACCGAAGATACCAAGGTCGAAATCGATAACTGTTACTGCTTTTATGAGACGGCCAACTTTTGAGGCCATCCCAGTCTCCCTTAAGTGGTCAGCTAGAACCAACTTTCCCTAACAACCATCTAGAGCAAGAGTTTCATATGTATGCACGAGGAACGAACTCTGTGATGATCCAATGATGGAACTGTAGTAATGAGAAAAGCAAATACACACGAATTTCCTTGCTCTGCGTACGTTTATACACCTTACACAGTTAGCAAAAGTCAATCCTATTATAATCAACCATCAGAAGCTGACCATCCAAAACAATTAATACGATAAGCTTTTACCTTAAGCATAGAGCCTTATCTATAATAATATCTTCTTGACGGCAGCGCAGATTAAGCACTTTTGCTGTGTTTTCATCGATTTCTACGTCTCACCCGGATAACAGAACAGTCCTTTACTGGTTCCCACGCGTTTCGCCGTGACTTGTGTAACATTTGGCGAACGTACTCACAGCCAGTTCGGTAAAGAGTCACGTTAACTGCTGATTGGCACCCGGCTTTGTATGATTCGAGTAGAAACCAGGTGAGACTAAGCAAAAATACTTCAAACAATAAACACTTCTTCACTTGATCTGCTGACTTTTTTGCTTCTCGTCCTAATCACTGAACTTGTCGGCTGGTTGATTGTTCCTCGTCCAGCCGAGCACAACGTCCATTATTAAAATCTTCCGGGGTTCCTCCCGGTAGACGTTCTGTGCTATTCAGTATGTTGTTAGCTAGTAAATTCCCTTTCATGTTTTTCTGGCTGTGGGCTTATTTCATTCTTCTCTTTGTTTCTGCATTTGTGACCTCTAGACGAAAGCTCGTGATGACTGCCAGCGTTAGCTATGAGCACCTATGGTAATTCGTAATATTGGGCCGAACAGAAGATGTAGCTACAGCATTATCAACAAAAGGCAAAATCCCCAGCTTAAATGATCTTAAATTATGACTTTACTGCTGATTTTACTGATGTGCTCATTTATCTTTCTACTTGCCTGCGCTAGCCGGAATTTATATTGATATGATATTAACAATAGGCAACATTTCCGTGTCCACTTTCATCAGTTGCAGGACAAAAGGCCAGCAGGAAGAACGCCACCGCTAACAATAAGAACAATAACAGTGTCCTGGCTATTTCGAACTATGAGCTTCTGCAGGAACTTACTGTAGTTCGACGCATTCACAACAGCAGCCGCGAAGCCCGTACGAGTTCTAATTATAGAAGAAACAGTTAGTTGTTATGGCAAGAGCTTGAGCAAACCTCAATCGTACGGATAACTAAGTCGCTTATACACCAGCTACACAGTGCGAACACGACCCGAAGCTGCAGCGTCATCACTGTAACAGAGGCCATAGGCACCAACTAGGCGACGACTATCATCTAACAACATCGGTTTGATTGGGGCGGGCCGCACAGCAGACACCCCACTACTACCATGGTCGGAATCTCACTCAACAAATTGTTGAGAGGCTGCTAGTCGAACTTGACGCTTCTATTGCTGGCGAAAGAAAATCGTCGTAATGGAATAGCACACAGCACGACGAAACCACATCTGTTCGCAGGAGAAGTGCTGCGAGCGACGGCAGTCGTTTCGGGCGCACAAACACCCACACAACCACAGCACGACGATGCCCTCACAACTTGTTGGTGGCCGCAGGGGAGGAAGTCGCAGGAAAAACAATAACAACCAACGGGTGGTCGCAGTGGTAGCAAGAAAGAAAAGAGTGTTCAGCAGTAGTAACCCAGTAGGTGCTGTAGCTTATGCAGCGGCGTCCGTTGGCAGTGCGATTCATCTACGCAGGTTGAGCAGTTAAGCGGGAGAAATGACGGGCGCGTACTATTCCTAACCTCACCTCCTCTCTTTCATATAGCGGGCACGCAGCAAAATATCGTCTGCTCACGGCAGTTAGGTCGCTGCAATAAGTTGTTTGGCGAGCTTTTATTTTACAGGTTAACTGCAGGCAGCAAAATAGAAATTCGGACAGTTCATGCGCGCAATTCTCGCCACATTTTTCTGGTACCGGAAATTCGGCGCCAGAACACGGCCAATACAAACCAGTCGACCCAGCATCATGGCCAGCAACAGCAGCAGTCGGGCCCAGGGAAGCGGCGGGCACGTTGAACACTGTCGCATAAGCGGAGCAGCAGGGGAGTACTGCATCTACTCTAACCTTCGAAACCCAAAGTTGACCGACAGTGTAGTGCAGTAGTACTGTCACAGAAGTGCCACGATGCGATGCTATCGGTAGGCAAGTACGAGCAACAAGCGCTCTAATAAAATATGCAAAAATTTGTATTTTTTTGGGAAAATGGGGCACAGATCATCTTCGCAATTTCGAAAAGAGAGCGGATAAAGGGAGCAAATGGTCCAGTCGTAAACAGCATTATCAGCTGTAGTCGAAGCCCCGACCGCGTACCGTATACAGTTATCGCAAATTGCAGCTAGCTGTTAGTAGAAACAAGGAATCCTAATCAGCTGACAATGTTAACATATATTATGTAAGCATATGCTTACCTACCAGGAATAATACTTCTCCGGCAAATATTTCTGCCTAAGACTTTTAGTGAGTAACCAATAAACCATTTTACAGTAGGTCCTCCATACAAGAAGCAGTACAGATTTATCTTTAGGCATTCTGCAATTAGTTCTTTGTCAAAAAGTAAAAGAAACAGTAGAGGTTTATCCATTATTTAAGCTACCATAAGAACTTATTACGGTCATAGCGTATCATAGCAAAGCAATGCCTACCTAAATCGCGTTCAGAGTATGACTGCGTTCTTGGTCTCTTTGGCCATCCAGAGCTTCAATTTAGTAATGAAATCGAAGCGGTCGTTGCTCGATGTGTTCATTCATCAGTCAGCTGTTGCCAAACTTCAGGAACGAAATGACTGTAGATTAGTCCATGTGAATAAAGACCTGTGTTTAGCGCTAGTAATAAATACGCGCCGCCAAATTCGAAATTCAGATAAACCGGCTCCTATCGAAAACCCAATTAACGTTCTACAGACCTATTTTACACAACACTTATAGCATTATTAATTTTTAAAACCAACCCCCTAAACATACTTTTTCTACTGATTTAAGCAAATGACACGTTCCCATATGAATGTGTTATTATTTGTGATGTCTAGCATAGCTTAAATATCTGTATTCGAGCAGACGCTCCTATTGGCGCGGTTGAAAACTTGTTGTACGAAATCGAACGCGGCAAACCTCATCTTTCTTAAGAAATCACCACTATGTCCCCGTGTGTGACCTGTAGCATTTGCTATTTCTCTAGTTAGATGGAGTTAGTCGCCGTTAGAAGTCGTCAAATTACTGTTCGTGTGTATATGATTTTATCCTAGACTCCGACGGTATCGTACTACCATATACTTTAAAGGACTTGTATTGTCTGCTGCGTGACGAGCAGTCCATATTGTCCTCAATCCGATTTCGGTTTAACATTTCACCGAAAATGTTGTTTCTATTACATTTCTAGAACAAACAAGTTTATCGCTCGTGTTCAGGTTAAGTTGTAATGAGAGAGTGCTTCCCCTATGGTTGGAATAGCCATGAACAACAATGAGTGCGTCTATAATAAGCATTCGCCTACAACGTGCGAGCAAGACAGCCCCTCGGAAGGGGAAATTTTTGATAGTGATTTTGATGACAAGGCTGATAATGTCGAGCAAGTCAACTTACAAAGCAGGAAAAACGAGATCTGTAGCAAATCGAGTAGGCCCATCGAAAGCCACGTGTGGCGTCAAATGGCTGAAGATTGTGCTGCCAGTTCATTGATCGATCAGTTAACTGTTGCGGAAGTGTCGCAAGCAGAAAAAACGCGCGGTATCGAAACGTACAACTTTAAAGCAAAGTTTAACGATTCTCGGCCTGATCCAGAGCTACCGGAACTAGAGGAGAGTGATGCGCTACGGCGATTACGTAAAGATAATGTAGGGGTTTGGGCTCGCCTTGGTAAGCGGCGCCGCGAACCGGAAGCGAACCTTGAGGTCGATATCGAGTTGGCTCGCATTGAACGCTCTAAGATACTAGAGCAAGCAGACCCTGAACAGGTGCGCTTTACCAAAGAGCTTGCCGAACGCCTAAAGGAATCTAATATTGTCCTTCTAGCTCATGTCGTAGTTCTTCTAGGAATTGAACATTGCCGACGCTTGCTTCAGATGACGGAAACCCTAGAAGAGTCAGGTGGATTGATGACGAGAGACGGGTCGCGGCGCAGGAGCGCAGGTGGGGTATTTCTACAGCTGGTCAAAGAAGATAAGTCGTTAAGTAAGTCACAGCTTCGTAGTCTCTTTCAGCCATATCAAACACTGATTAAACGCAAAAATAAGAAGATGCGCATATTACGGAGGGCGCACAAAGCCCTAGATGAGTTGGAGAAGGTATTTGAGTTGTAATCTACCCATCTGTAAATATACAGCAAGTGCAGCTGGAAGCTAAACCGAGGACACCTGTCAAGTCATCAAGGTCAACATCGCTTACGGTTTGATAAGCCCAACGGGTATTTATTTATCAGTACATGAAATAAGCTCTGTTTTTTCCTTTGTCCGATACGTTAATAAATGGTTGCAGATTTTTTAACGGAGTGCACTAAAGACATTCATGTTATTTGAACAATGTTTCGACACTCCGTAACATCAAGTAGATCATGATCTTGTACTGTTAAAAATTGTACATATGTGGGAGCCTTTCGTGCAAACAAGTGCTCGTATTATTAGTTGGCCTTGGTAATATGCTGAGTGCAATTACATTAGCAATTTTTTCGATAATCGATTTTAGAGACCAAAGTGGTAAAGTTTGGGCTCCGCAACGCAAGAATATTTTTCGAAGCGTGGGTTGGACTTTTGCTGCAGATATACGGACAGTGGACGTCTCTGGCACTTGATATGTCTACATCAGTACACTGAATAAAAGAACGACCACCAGCACATCTGATACTCGGGTCGATTGACATAAGCCTTCTTTACTATAATTTTTCTTTACACTTAAGTGTGATTAGCAAGAGATCGGAAAAAAGTCTAAATGGCGTGTATAAATATGGTTGCTCAACAAGGTTTATTAAAAAAAAAACCTTCTTCCGTATTTTTTTCATGTTTTTGAAGTTTCACGCATAAAGAGACCTATCTAAAAATGATAAAAGAAAACAAAAAGTCTTTAGAAGAACATAGATCTGTTGTAGGTATTTTCTGAGGCCCTAAGTAGAAATAGTACATCATTGACAAAACAATAGCTATAAGTTACCTTCAATTAAAAATATTTTAGCTGCTAAAATTGGCGTAGGATCAATGTTGGAACGTGCGATCTTTTAAATCGGAATCTGAATTTTGCTAAACTGGAAAGGCTCCAACCTCGAAACATCATCATGTGAATACAAGAATCGGATGCTACCACCACAACACCTTATTTACTTTGTATGAAATGGCGAGGTGAGCGTTATTTAAGTGAAGACATTGGTCAGATAGTTTCAGCTGTGTATATTTGATTGTATCTTCAGTATGAATATCTATTTATACTGTATATGCTGCTCCTTTGAGGTTTGGTCACGTGTAGACACTATATGGTAACGAAAAGTTTTGGCATCAAATAGGTATTCTTATTAAAAACCATTTTTCTTTTGTCTATCTCGACATTACACCAGAGTGGGTCCGTGACATACGGTTTCGTTGACTTGTCAGTACAATATAAGTCGTATTATCCTCTACACAGTAAAACGCTTGTATGTCGATATCATGCGAGTACTTGTGAATATGATCGTACACTATACATATAACATCCATTTATATTATGTATATCAGGTCTAAAAAACGAAAACGGTTTTTTATTTCGTTGGTGTTTGCTTTCTGTATGCAGGCCCTTTCAAGTTTATTTCATCGCAATGTAAGCCTAACAGTGATTGAGCTATGGGCAACGCATTGACTAACCTACAAACCTAATATATTTCACGTTTGTTTTCTTCGATTACATAATATCTTACTTTTTTGCAGGTCGCCACAAAGACTTTAAGAGCTACACCGTATTTTCTCTTAGGAAAACGATTGGAAGTGTCAACCCTATTGTCTGGCCTGCGATTCATCAGACGCTCCTCCCGAGCCAGATTTTATTTTCGCTAATTCTGCTGACTGGATAATTAGGTTGCGGAATACGCTTGGATTTTTTTCTACTACTTAGGCTATGTCTCAACAATGAACCTGTCGGTTGCACTTCCTTCTAATAAGGCCTGTTCGAGTAAATCCAAGCGATGGTCAGCGTCGATGCGACTGGGGTCCACCTATATTACAGTCAGATACTACACCGGTTTTTCAATCCCATACTCCCCCATAATGATCTAGCTGATTATTCATTATTATTATGTTTCAGCTGATCCCTCACGTAAACGGATAGAGAAAGATGACTAAGTAGATCGAATACTCAAACTCCTTAAATCGGGTGTGCCGCTTAAGAGTGCCTTATTATAATAGTGTCATAGGGACACTTTCAGCTAGGACGCTGTTTCACAAATTCGGTTACATGCCTGGTTTTTTTACTGTGCGCCATTCGTTCTACAGGATGCACCGTTATCGATAACTGTTGATATGCTGTATACATACGTAATATTCATGCATGTGTAAATAATATGCTTTACTTAAATATATCGCTCACGTTAGTTGTCGATCACAATCTCAGTGGTTTGATAAACTATGGTGTCCTAGAATACTCGCTTGGATATATTGATTAAATATACGATCGATTGTATATATTCGTGCAATCCGGCTTTATGTTAAACGTCGTTTAAGACCCAAAATAACTTTTTGCTTGATTTCATACCGATCTTTTTTACGTGTCTGCGAATGTTCGTACGTTTGTCTGATCAAGTTCTCATAACAATCACTTTGTGTCCTTATTACGCCCATTACAATGTGTCAACTCCAAAAAAATATTAACTCACGGTGCTATACAGTTTTTCGTCATGCTGGGGGTATTTGTCCAACGAATGTAGTTAAGTCGTGAGTACACACGAGTTATAATTTCAGGTATTCCCACAAACAAGTTTTTACATATTTTGCAAGGCAAAATTACTACAGCCATGCAACATTGCTAGACTCTTACAACTTTCTGTACTTATTACTGGATTTTTTTAATTAACTAAAGTGTTATATGTATCGTTAGGATCGTTGGGACACTTAGAGTTTTGAGTGTATAAGGTTTCCCTATCTTAGAGAGCAGAGTCCGCGGCATACCAGTACGTGGCTTAATTCTCCCAGTTCACCTTTATATATTCCAATTTGCATGATTATTCCAACGATAACTGGTACGCTTCTGTTTAGAATTAATTTTTTTTTATCTGGAAACTTAAATTTGTGAAGTATTTAGTTTCACTGGCTGCAATGCCCCTTAAGTATGCTTCTTGTTAGCTCGTTCTGGGCCCTAGTCCCGTTGACGCAAAACGAACACAGAAATAAAGTCTTGGTTGCTCTAAAACAAATGACTAAATAGATCTGCTCTTTTCAATTCTATATATATTCTTTTTTAGGTATTTCTATACTATTTCTGCTATTTGTATTAGAAGTAAATACAAACGTACCACTTCTAGGCAACGGCCAAACACTTCTCAGGAATCAATGAATAATGCTATTCAAAAAATGCATTATCACTTTATTTGAACGCTTTTGTCGTCAATAATTGACAAAACGTTGCAAATCAGTCTATCATTTATCGCAGTTGATTCGTTAATAAACATATATATTGTTGCTTACCACTTAACCTGTCTTCTAAATGTGCATCTTTTGGGCGGTTATGATTGTATCCTTCGCATCTATATCACAACTACGTTATCTTTCTCTTCGACCTCAACAAATCGACAAGAACAACAACTAACATGAAAAATTTCAACGATAAACAAATATTGGTTGTTATAAGGGTTACTTTGTGTATATGATGTACATATGTATACTGATGTCTGTTATCGGTGGGTAGTTCTTGTTAATATACTGTCCAATACACATTTTTCCTCGATTGACAACAAAAATGAAGTATTCTATCCACCTAGCTACAAATTAGAAGAATGATAAATGAACTATAAGATTACTCATAGTTCATCCGTTGTTTCGATTAAACTCCTCGCTTGTAGGTGCGCATTGAATCATCCATAAATACGCCTTTTCTACACGGATAGAAATCTAACTGCGTTATCCTCAGTTCCAAGTTATTACATCAGAGCGTTAAATATTGTTATAGATCTACATACCTGATATGGAACATCGTCATCTACGAACTTTGTATACGAAATAGAAAATGAGATAAATTAGTTGGATCGACCCTAATGTCTTAAAACTCGTGTCTTTTAAATAGTTTAATTTTTAAACTTCTAACAGGATTTAGTTCACTCGGTTCGATCAGTATTACCGTGATTCTTAAAACAATATTTCGTTAGCGGAAGAACATTTGTATAAGGACAACAGCAATATCATTCGTTCGCTTATTTTTAGCAAGCTTCATATAGCCTTCTTTTTCCTTGTGTAATTCTAATTATTCTAGAGTACTGCTTGCCTAGACTTGATCACCGATTTCTTTTGCTTTCAATATACGTATAAATAAATCACCATCGACAACAGTTACGAGGTATTTTGTTGATGGTCGTGTTCCTCATTCTCTACTCACATTCGATTAATTATGACGTTCTTGGGCAGTCTAACTAGTCTCACTGAATTCCCGCAATTTTTCCGAAATCTGCGTACAGTACCGATTCCACCACGCTCGAACAATCAACAGTATCGAATCAATAACCTAGATTTCGCAAATGATCGCTTTACGTGCCTCTCGGGGGTAATCATACACACACACACATACACATAGGCATTATAAGATCTATTCATGATAATATTCAATGCAACTGGCTTAACATTTGTTTGTACGTCTGTTTTATGAGGCTGTTTGGCGGCTACTATACAGCTAGCCATTTCGGTTTTCGACATTTCCTGAATCAATAAAGACACTGCCGATAGCCAACGAATCGAATTCGTAAATTAGGCGGCAAGTGTACAAGCTGATACTCGAGAACGGCTTGATATTATCTTTCTGGCCTAATGTAGCGTAAGCGCGTTTACTTCTTTGTCGTATACATCTTTCTTACGTGTCGTTTCTAAAGTCGCCCACGCTTGAAATACTTAAAATAAAATGTTGCTCTAAAATACGTTAATCTCGCCATCTGTGGTAGTCTATATGACCGCATTTGATTTCTAGATATTCCTTCGTTCCTCTAGAGGTTATGTCATCAATTATGGTTGTCGTCTTGCCACCCTATAATTGGGCGTCTTATAAAGGTTTATTAAGCGTCACAGGTGTTAACTGTTGTTGCAGCAACTTTATTTGTTAAGTTCTGTAACAGTGGTTATGGAGGGTTCTTCTTTTACTGTAATTTGTGAACGATCATCGGCTTGCGTTTGACTTTCAACGGCTTCGCCGTCTCCAACCGTGAGCCTAAAACTGCCCCCAGAGAAGTCAAACGTTGTATCGTACAATGACAACGTGGAGTTATTGCCTGTCGTTGAGAGACTCTCGGAAAATGCAGATGATTGTTGCATAGATCCTGATGATATCCGCTGTCGCAGAGACAACCTGGATTCCGACCAGACATCAATAAACACGAAACTATTAGATCACTGAAATTCAGTATGCGTGAATTTTTCGTTACGGATGTATAGAATGTTTGTCAAGCTTCAAAATTTAACCATCAATATTGTCAAGGCTTGCAAAAAATCGCTTGCAAAAGATCAATGCGGGGTCATACCTGGATATAACATTAGCGAGGCCAGAGAAACTCGACGATAAGTGCTGATGATGTGTATGCGAAAGGTCAGAAACGCCTGATGTCGATCGAGACAGACCTGATAGGGCAGTGGGGCATGTTCGGAACAGAGAAAACTCTGACGGGCCTCCGGAGCTTAATGAACAACCTGAAGCGACGCTTCGCAGGCAGCCTAAATTGCTGAATGCCCCAAAAGGACCCTTTCCGCAAACTTCGGAATGACCATCGCAGGCTTGGAGCCGTGAATGGTCACTTTCCAACTACAAGCGAAACAAAAGTAAGTGAAACGCTGGCCGATCGTGCAGCATTTGCCGTAATGCTTTCCTGCCGCCTGATGTCCCACCCCACCCCACCCCACCGGATCTCCCAAGGAAATCAACCAAACAACTGCAACTAACCATTTCACTATTGCAGTAACAGCCTGCTATACAGACATACTGTCCTAATACCTAAATCAGTACCGTACTTGTGGCTAGACATGATATCTTACCAAGCAGGAGTCGGATCGCGTTTTCCGAAGCATACTTGGCCTCATTAGATTATCTACCGCCTCGACTGTGGTTGCTTGTTCCTTTAGAAGCCGTTTTTCTTCAATTCCTTTCTCCCTAAAAAAAGCAATAAACATGTTAAAAGTTTAATTAACGAGATGTGTGCTATCTAGTTTTTCGCTGGTCCTTTTATAAGGACTTGGCTGCCAAAATCCAAGAAAAAAATTTAGATCTAGTGACCAGCTTTGTCAATTTTTTTGTCTTACTCGCATGCAGTGGGTAACACAAGAGATCAAAAATCAAAAAAGAAAATAGGTTATTTCAAAGAATTTAATTATTTGAGACCGACCCGTCAGGCTCAAAGGTGATAGATTTTTTCATTCCACTAGCCATCAGTAAATCCCCATGATTTGAGCGAAGTGTCCCTATGCCAATTGTTCGAAGGATATCGTCCATCTTGTGGTAGTAGTCTGTGTGGCCATTTACCTGAAATACACATAAGTAGCAACTTATGGTGGATACGTATACTTTTTGACGGCATTATGTTATTTGCTTTTGAAATATACCTAATTATTGACCCATTCTTTATAATTAACTATGTTTTCAAATAAAACAATCCACAATCCAATTCCGCAATTCTAACTTGGAAAAAAAGCAGCTCGTTAAAGTGAGAACAGATTTCAGAAAGACCTACCACGCTTGAGAGGTCAAAATTGTGTATCCGTCTGTCTCTCCATGCGACTGGCTGAAGACCCGCAATTTTCCTCGTCGCACTGGACGTGCGGTAGACGAATCTCAGCAACCAGTCGCCTCTATGAATGGCCATTACATAATGTGCGTGACATATAAGTTTAACATTTACATGAAGTGTTGACAGTATAGATTAATAAATCGTGTCAAATGAAGGCCTTAGTAGCGCTGTAGTCGACAAATAAATACTACATCCAACAGTTGGACACTTTCGGGTTTGGAGTACCACCCGCACGGTACTAAAACTAAAGCAGTAAACGTTCTTATCTATTGCTACAATTGTTCTATAATCCGTAATCAAAGGATAATCAGCATTCTTTTTGTTGTAAATTTAAATGGATGAAAAACATTACCTGCAATATCCGTTTACGATATTTCCTGCAACAACTCGACTGAATGGGGCCCAATCCTCAGGATGGGCTGGTACTGGCGCTCCCAAAAGAACAGCGTTTTCGATTATGCCTTCGCAGTTTTCTCGGGCTGAGAGCTCCTAATGACATTAGATAGATAATACATGATATAAGTGCTTGCGATTTCATTAGACCGTGGTTAATGATACGTACAGATAAAGAATCTAATAAATTATTTGCGAAAGAGTATTCTATACAACGAATTACAGCCGTGTTGCAGGGTTAAGTTGCCTATTAACTTCAAACGACGGTTCTCCAATAGATAAGAAAATATATGTGTATATACCTTAAGACAATAGTAAATGACACGCGCGCCTAATGAAAAACCAATCAGCGTGACGGGTCGACGGCCGTGTTGTCTCTGAAGCAAAACTTCGGCCAAATGACGACCGACCTGAGCCGAACGACGCTGACAAACACTCCATGGATTATCAATTGCTCCAGCCACCTTCGAAAGCCGCCGTAAAGTACGCATACTTTTATCATAGATCATAATTTAGGTATAATAGTGAGAACGTAAAAAATATGTACAACAATTAAATGCTATTTCATCCTCTCTTCAAATAGCCCTAATCGCTATATAGTGTTATAACTTCACAAAGTAGATGAACCGAATAAACAACACTACTGTTTATGCTTCGTTCTGGGACAAGTTACTTGCGCATCCGTACCATAATAAGCGTTGCAGGCCAAGCGACAGCAGCGATTAAGCCTGATAAGACGGTGTACTTAAGCGCCTCCTGGGCAGCCATAGACACGGCAAACGAAAACAGATAGTCCATTGCACGACCTAACTCCACCAGGTACCTGCATGGAGAACAGTTAATTCGATTTTGTAAGACTGTAAAATGAAGCAGTGACAGAGAATCTATAGGGGCAAACGTATTACTGTTTGTTTTGTCTAACACGATCTCTTACCCGGTTTCATATCGAAGTACATACTGCTCGCGGGAGTTTGACATTGTCCGCCAGGGATGAAGAATCGCTTCTGAAATATTGCAGAAACTGATAAGTTTTCTTTACCTATCACACAATGTATGTTTGCTAACAGTTCTATTAGTAGTAGCTAGAAGGAAGAGGGCAAATGCTGACCTGGCTTGTCATCAGTAAGCCAACCTGACACGCCGATCGTAACATGGAGCTCATGGCCTGTACTCAGTTCGTCGAACGCAAATTCTTCGATTTCACCAACTCTCTTCTTCATTTTGTACCCCGTAAGGCCTGCGCCAGCAAGACCCATTACAGATGAAATCAATGCGATACCGGCAGTTGAGCCTAGAGCTGCTGCACCAGCTCCACCTGCAGATTTAGAGACGATATGCTATAACGCTGTGATTAACTGCCTGTTACTCCATACATGATCATTATATTACAGAAACCTATTTACGAACGACGACCTATGCTATGACATATCTATGATTGAGATAAGCTTCGCATTAAAACAGCCAGGACCCCGTCAGCAGAAGAGCATATGTGCACTTCTGAACTCCAGTATATGCACTCGACTAGTTCACATTAAATTTCAAGATATTATCTTTATTCGAGTGACTTTATTAGCGATCTGATGGGTACATACCTATAACAGCGCCGGCTCCCGCAGCAACAAGTGGTGCCGCAAGACCACCAGTCAACCCAAGAACCGCTCCTCCTCCAACAGTTGCTATACCGATCATTAGGTATCGCCTAATCTTTTTATTCCGTTCCCGTTTAGCTATTTCCCGCCGTTCCGAACTGCAAATAATGCACAGAAAACTATGCGTAGTTATACGAGCTTTGCGCGCCTGACGCTACTGCTGATGCGACTCGACGAGCCATGGACAAGCTCATCGGTAACGTTTATTATGTCAGCATAATGCTTGACGTCGTCGTTAAGATTCATATAGTATATACACAGGTAGATGTGCTAAAAGTCCGACTACCATATAATATTTATTTCCAATAGAGATGCTGCTGTACTAAAATCATAGAAATCAAGGCTAAAAAGACCTCCATCTTCCAAATGATAGCTTTTTCTGTCTTTAGAGTAAACATAAGCCAGATATTAGATTGGTACAAAACACGATGTTTTTGTTCGAGTAAATACTAACTCTGAATGCTGTACACCATCTCGAGATAGAAATTGCACAACAGAATTCTCATACATTTCAAGCAGTGCTGGAGACACCTGTAACTGTTGCGCTGTGTACAGAACGAATACACGCATTCGTGCATCGTATACACCTAATAACACGTACAAACAAGATGCAATGTAGTAATTAAAAACTAAATGACTAGCTTTTTTTTTTAATAAACTCATTAGTAATTTAACTTCACCTGGCTATTTGAGGCAATTACTGCTGACCATTACTAAAAAATTGTATTAACAATAACAATGTTCACTTATGGCATTTATATGGTTAAGTAAGGCTTTGTAGTAATACCTGCGTGAGCTATTCGATGCTTAATAAATAGTAATTATAATCGTCAATGTTTCCCCTTCGCTTTCAAAATATTGTATACAGTCTAAATCAGCAAACTTCTAATAAGTACTATAATGCTTATATGGAAAACTTTGGTCTTATGACAAGTAAGCGCGTAAACACAACAAGAGATGTTATCAATAAACTGTTTATGAATGCGTTAAGCACACAAGTTGATTGCATTCACTCTGAAGGCACGTTTTCATGATTAATTACCTGTCATCAGTCCTGATCGCGTGCAAGAGACAAAAAGGAATTGCGCCCGAATACGAGACGGTTAGATATAATTAATGCGAGTTATGTGTGGATTGAAACTACTATATGTGTTCGTTGCTAATATGAACGTGATTATTTCTAACTGGCAAAGCAGAAAAAAATGTATGAAAATTAATATTGTTGACGTTTACGTAACGATGAAATTTAGTAGAATAGAGTCGATAGAAATAAAAGATAGATTATTTGGTCGAAAACATGACGCATATAGAAATACGATTGAAGTTCTAAAGGTAACCGAATTATAGTTTTGATTCCATGATCGTAATAAGTGTATTATGTATTGTGTACAGGTATAGGTATATATATAAAACATGATTGCGCAATAGGTCTCCTACGAATGTACTATGCAGCTCTCATGTAAGGTCATGTATCTTCACGCATTGTTCGCACCTCTATGTACAGCAAATACAACGAGATCCTGGAGAAGTCGCATAAATCCATTTTGAAGGACGGGCTCATCTCGAAGGATATTTACATACGGTTCAAGCTTGCAGCCCGCTTCTCCACTAAGCAACGCGTACATTACGGGCATACTCTGGAACATGACATCGCAATTATCGTATGATTATCATATTTATGTAATAATGATCACATGGACTGGAAGACAACTTATTTTTATTGGCTTTTCTACACGTCCTGTTTCAGGTTGTACAAACCTGTTCGGGCATGTTAAGATGCGAGCCGAAGTTTTCAAGGGTAGCTAATCGAAAGGGTTCATCAAAATCGGCCGGAAAAAGCCGCTGGAGCCCCAGTGCGACAAGGGCACAGTAGGAATAGCGTCCAGCTTCTCCTAAACGAGTAGCAAATGGTTCCTGGAGTCGACGTGAGAGTACGTCTGCTCCATATTTTTCGTATTCTGAAAGCATTTAAATCGAAAAAGATACATTTATTATGGTAGCATACAATACAGTATATGCACGGCACATATTGTACAGTTGAGAAAATGCCTTTGTAAGTTTTGAGGGGTGGACTAGTGGGTAGAATACGTGGTGCGTTCAGGTCACGCAACAGTTGTGACGAATCACACGTGAAGTCGTTTTGGGAACGATACTAAAGAACATCAAAGGTAAGAACAATTTTGTTAATTTCTCAGGTGACTATACTACGTCTGTCTGATTTTTACATGACTAAAATGAAACCTTGGGATCATAAGGTATAGATAATTGATCAAGGGTCGTTTTCTAAAAATGTGTGATTTTTTTTGGGCTCCGACGGCCGATTACGAGCAAAAGAAAAATCATCATGAAGGCTGATGGATGAATATATACAGGCACCGAACGATGTGAATATGGTCATATGATCTTTTTATTGATTTAATAATTGTTCTAGTTGGCTTCCAGAACTTCTTGCTTATTCGTCTTTTTCATTGTTCAGCCTAGCAAGTAGATGACATTTAGTTGAAACAAGCGCTACGTGTTTCACACTCAGACATAGGCCACCGCGGGACGTCGGTAGACCATGAGCACAGCAAAAGCGCAGTTAAAAGGCGGCAGGGGGCTGAGTAGACTTTCTTCTAAACCTGTCAGTAAATGTCTAAGAACGCATTTCGAAGTTATGCATGAACTATTCGGTTATTACGTACATTCTGTGTATTTATTGGTAAGTAATCCCACAGTTCTTGGACAATCCCAAAGAAATATGTCATACTTGACACATTATCGCCAATGAATGAAAAGTTTTCTCATCGCTAAAGATATGCCGTATATAAGACGAATGAAATAAAAACTTCGATGATTTCAAGTTAACTTCCTTACCTAAAATCGCATCTGGTAGCCACAAAAAATATGAAACAAAGTGTCAATGGGCCTTGCTAAACATTTGATTAGGATTATTTTTCGTCTGTTGGTTCGAATAATACATCTTTATTTATGCTAAAGGATTTGTAGCAAGAGGAAGAGAGGAAGGGATCATAGATATAGAAGAAAAGAATCCAGCTAATATTAACTTGATATGCAGGTAGTACGTGTCCTATCATAATCTGTACAAGACTCTGTAAGAAAACAAGGCCTTCCATGAAAAACGCTATGAAATATACCTATAAAATACATGACTGTTCCTGCCTGCGTTTGCTCTTACTAGTGGATTTCGTATGTTACTAATGCAACATGTAGATATTGCCACTCCATCAAAGACAAAGCGCAATGCATATGTTAATAGGAAATGATAAGAAAAATTCGTCCTGTATAGTACAACAATCTCATACCGCCTAATTGACAAATAACCAAAGAGCTAGTCAATCGAGTTCCAGCTTTTCTGCGCCAATTTGTAGCCTTAGTCCAAGTACTAGCGCCGACTAAAGCAATCGTCGTCACCCAATTAAATTGAAGGTGCACTTTATTGCCCGGACTCAACCTGTAAAAACGCATGCCGTTTTCACGTTCGAGCAGCATATCGGGACACATGGGGCACCCGGAGAGGAGGACGATAGTAAACCAAAGGACATTTAACCAGACTATTGATTATTCAATAGACCGGATGGTAATGGCTTAATGGTTCCTCCTCATTCTTCGCCCATTTGGCGGTACAAGTGTATTTGGACATATTGTATTAATATCTACTAGTTCAGATCTTATGCAAGCACTTACACTGCTATAAACCTACTATATTAGGTATCCTTGGTTTCGTATTTACCTGAACAAACGTCCAGCCTACCTACACCGTGACTAACGCTGACATGACTACCAATGAACGATGTTAATTTTATGCCATTATAACAGCAAAACTTTACCCAATTGTGAAATGTAACAAATTGACAACATTGTTGTTTACACTCACCTGCACTTTTGAATACGCTGGGTTTGATATTACTGTGGTCCGCCATGTTTTCGTTCCGCCAACTCGAATCATTGAATAGAATCGCCGTTCGCCTTATATGTACATAACAATGAGTAGCACTTCACCGATTTCGCAATGACATACGGCCATCACGCATAGCGTACCCATAGTAGTCTTCGTTTCATTGTCTTTACTTAACCCGCGCAACGCTCAAACCACTGCTGATTCCTTGGATTCTAGCCTCCAGCACTCCTCATAGACAACTATTATGGCATCTTCCCATTCCTCTGGTTGCCTAGCACCAGTGAAACGGATCGACGCACATCTTCCGCCCGCACTTCCGCAGAAGCCAGCCATCTATGACACCCACTACTCTTCTATTTCCACCGCCACTACAACAATAACAAAAAGGAGCTACTGTACTTGCGCCACATCGTTATCCACACTGCTTTATATACGACCGCTTGCCAGAAGCCATTACGCCTGGTCAACAAAACCTATACTACGTCTTTTTCTTTGACTGTTTTCCGTTACAATACTCACATTACTTACGCTAGTCACCTCATGTGGGACACGACCATCCCGCTTCTAACCCGATGACTCGACAGGATCCTGTTGAACACTTTTTTCCTGAGTATTGTCACTGAGAACTTTGAATTGAGGACACCACTCACTACTTTCTGGGTGTGTCGATATCGTTGTGTCCGGATTAAACGTCATTCTCACCAGACAGCAGAACATTTTGGTGGTGTGATGTCCTGCCAACAGGAGCTATGCGGTTTAAACAAACGACAGAGTTTCGACGTGAGCAAAGTTTGGCAATGACGGCTTGCGCTGTATGAGATAACAGCAACAACCGCAGAGGCAGGCTGCGAGTAAGCAAGTTTTGCGTGTATTTTGCAGATCTAGTGTTGACGGTACTTACGCAGGCTTAATATCAGGCCGGCTTTTGTTCTGACTGAACAGCTGGCCACCGTTTTTCGTCAGTGGCGGGAGCAGCATAGCATGTATATAAATAAATAGTACAGCCCGAAGTTTGCATGCGCATGTTACACACTGGTGGTGATATTATTTAAACCACATCATTGGGATGACAATGAGTCGACTTACAAGAACGAAAGGAATAATAATTTCAGTAATAATAATAAGTGGCAATGGTCAACATCTCTGATGACGCCGTCACAACAACTTGTAGCTAACAGCTAGCTATGTGGGCTAAAAGTTCAAATGAGGAGAGCTTTCGGATGTAGGATAATATATTGATGACAATAAAAAAAAAGAAAAAAGCTACACAGATCTAGCAGTTCACAGTAGTATAAAGCGGAAAATGACGCTTAATGTTTACGGTGATTGGTATCAACACATAAATATCATATGGCGAATACGACGACTAGAGTAAACTGGAGGATTGTGCCAGACCAAAAAGTAATGAGTAAACCAACGATGGGCCCCCGTCTAATCGTTAGTTACTCACGATGTCGCTTCTGTTTCTTTTCCATTTGTTGTGTAAATTGTTGGGTGGCTGTCGAAGTTGCCCTGTGAGTAGGCGATAGGAGCCTAGTTACAGCCTAGCTATTATCCCTCACTTTCACGTTGCCACTTTGAGCAGGCGCTACTCTCTGTGATGGTCATGGTAAGCCAGTGAGGCGGGGTCCTCCATCTCTCCAATCTTATACGAAATTCTTATAAATTTCATAAATGGGTAATTCATTTGTAAAATTGGCTACGATTCGTCTACTACTATATGATATTTCATCTTTCAAAGATAAAAGATGGTAATTTTTTACGGTACTTTAAAGAAGGCAGAATATATAGAATCTACAATAATATTTTTTGAAACAGGTCCGAATTTAAAACAAAGAAATTAATAAAGACATGTAGATATTTGATCTAACTAATAAGCTTATAAATCAACTCAATCATGCCAGTGTGGGAATGACACATTTGACACGATCTCAAAAATACAATCACATCTTTTTGGGAAGTCTCTGTACGTTCATAAGGTATTTTTTTCTTGTATCTTTTACAATAGTTCCCGTTATTGTGTTTCACGGTTTCGTCATGTAACTCACACATATAAACATGTGCATTGGCAAACAATGCAAACTGCTTGCACTTATGTGCAGTAGTTGCACTAAATGCGCGCTCTTTACATTCATCGGTCAAAGCCATAGCTTCTAATTAAACCATGGCGACATCTATCTCATTTTCTAACACATATAGATTGCATCAACGAAATCATACGATCGGTGACCAAATACCGTGTTAGACCATAATTCATTACCAGTTCACATCACCCGTGCTCTCCGTCCTGAAGGCCAAGAGTCAGGTGGCAAAGAATATCCGGCGAGGCAGGATTTTACGCGCCACTTCCCCAAACACTGACACACTGCCGACTTCTGTATCGAAGATTTTAGCTGCGCCATGTTGACACCAACAGCTTTGGTTGTAGGGTCTTTCCTAGAGGCAGCATAAATCCTACTACTACAGACAAGCTTGTATGCAACAAGGGCCAGTTACTCGCTAAGCTAAGTGAATACCAAATGATAGCCCATATCAGCTATCAAGCGCTAAAGCTGGCTGCACTGTCGGCACGTGCTTTTTTGAATGCTAACTTGTTCCATCGTGAAGTGTGCATTCGTTGAAAAGTGACAGGAAGTAGGAGTGCAGGAATTAAAATTCAAGAAACCATGTTCCGAGCGGGTCGTACTGTTTGGCGATTTGTCTACCTCTGCAGTTGTGCTCGTCGTGTTAGTGGAGGTGTTGTAGTCGCAGCGGCTACAGGCGGTGCCATGGTGTATAAAATTTTGTGCGAATCGCCAGTGAAACTCAGAGGTGAGTTTCCTACCCAAGATTTAAGTTGACATTTATTTAACGAGAGGTTGCATAGTCGTTGATAAGCGGAATCAGTGAAATTGTAAATACAAATAACACTGTTCGAAACGATAGAGAGGTGATGGATTTATTTTGATTAAAGAACTAGAGTAACCGTACTATGTCCTTGCTTTGCATTTTGATTCCAGAGGCGCTCGACACGTCAAGCTTTCTAGCCAAAACTATAACACCACTCAAAGAATTGCAAGCACGGTATGCAAAATATATTCTTTTTGCTTTTGTTTGTTGTTTCTGTGTGGGATTGCATATGTTATAACATTCGCGCGAGGCTTAACTCGACAGAATATACACAATGCCAATAACGTGTGATTTATTTTTTTAATGAATAAGTAAATAAAGAAGGTATTATTATTGTTCTAGATCCGATGCAATTCCAACAAAAATGGAACTGATGATAATGGACGTTCAAAGCGACCTCGTTAACAAGTTACAGAAAATCGAAGCACAGTACTCAGATGCGAAATTTCGGGTAGGTGTTTTTGGGGAGTTATATGACAAACTTGTCAAAACGAGTTGGATCGGGAACGAGTTTATTGGTTTCACTTTGGACTCGTGTGCCATAGTGATATTAGGCATAGTAGTAATGCTTATATTATTATTTTGCCGTAAAGCTAAAATGGTAGACCTTGAATGTTGAGAAAATTACACTTGATATTATTCATGATACGATCAATAATCTTTCGCTATAAACTGTAATAGATTGATCGGTGGGAACGCCAAGAGGGCGGAGGTGGAATCGCCTGCGTCTTACAGGATGGCAAAGTGTTTGAAAAGGCTGGAGTAAACGTATCTGTTGTTCAGGGCGCACTTCCACCCGAAGCTTTGCAGCACATGAAAGCACGCGGAAAGGATTTTGGAGAACCACCATTTGAGTTCAAAGCCATGGGTAAGCAGCGACCGAAAGAAACGACTGTCGAGCCACTGAAACATTAAGAAGCCTCAACTTACCAGCCGAATTCTTTACTGCTTCCTATCTTGCAGATTGCGTTATTTTAACAAGGCTACCTTGATATTACATTCCTACTAATTTCAACATATGATGATCATCAGGTATTTCCTCGGTAATCCACCCACGAAACCCAAATGTGCCAACGGTTCACTTCAACTATCGTTACTTCGAAGTCACAGATATCCGTGGACGCTTAACATGGTGGTTCGGTGGCGGTTCCGATCTTACACCCTACTACCTAAATCGGTACGTCCTAGTCACGCACTGAAACAGTCCATTAGTCCACGGTCGACAATTGTATGCCAGACACTATATGACATATGTGGGCCATGGCAGGCGCCAATGAATGAGCTGGACAGATGGGCAGGACGACACATTGTGGTTACATTATTATGTCCTATTTAGAAACTTACTGTAGTACATGGTTTATCAGCTGACGCTACTCACCATATCACCAAAAAAAAAAATAATTGGTTGTATCGTTTTGCAGGGATGATGTTCGACATTTCCATCAAACGCTGAAGAACGCTTGTGGTCGGCACTCACCAAGATACTACTCTGAGTTTAAGAAATGGTATGGTTGGAACACAGTGAGCCCATAAAAACGTACATTTTTAGTACGACATTAGGCAAAGCAACTCTACCTATGACCTATGATGTACTATTAGGTAGAAGTAGAGAAATCGTAAAAAATATGTTTTTGATATATCAGCTTTTGATATTCATCCGTTCATTTTCTGTCCATATATCGTTCCGCAGTTTACGTTTTTAATTATATAAAAAGAATCATAGAACGTACACCTTAATTTTATCGTTTTCTATACATTTTCTAATATTTTCTCTCCAAAGGTGCGATAACTACTTCTACATTAAGCATCGCGGATTTGCACGAGGCGTTGGCGGAATCTTTTTTGACGATTTAGTGGACAAGTACGTGAGACAAAAGACACAATAGGAGTGTGTTCGCATAATAATGTTCGCATTATAATAGAGCTTAGCTCTGATTAAAAAGTAATCTCGTAGTCTATACATCTAGATCAGAGTCAGTCAGTGTTCAGCATTAAAGTATTGTTACGTTTTCTCTATGTAAAATGTGTAATAAAATCTGGTGTGCAAATTAATAAAAATCTGCCGTTGTATTTGACTATATAACCATTTTAATTTATTTAGAAAACCGGAAAATATCTTCAAGTTTGTGGAGGAGTGCGCAAGAAGCGTCAGTCCGTCGTATATTCCGCTTGTACTTAAGAACAAAGACAAAGGCTACGGATACAGGTAAATGAAGTTCCTGATAACAATGCTATGCGTATAATGAAACAGATTTACGGAATAATTTCATGCTTAGCGTTGCGGTCTGCGCCCATTGTAACGCTCTGGAACTAATATGGCTGAAAATAGTAGCTTAAAGGTAAATAACCACCTTTTTTATTACATTAAATATAGGACACCGAAAGACTAACGAAACACTTCGTTTTTCGACAATGCAAAAAACCGCATTATGAAAAATATCGCATTTGGTCTGAATGAAGGTAACTAATAATATGTTTATTCCTTTACAGAGAGCGTGACTGGCAGCTTGTACGGCGAGGCCATTATGCCGAATTTAACTTGGTGTATGATCGTGGTACTAAATTTGGCCTCTTTACCCCAGGAGCAAGGTATGTTGATAACTGTGTTATGTAAACGGCATACATGCATGGATAGTGGAGTTATAAAAATTTGTACTTACTACTAATAAAATTTAAACAAAATTTGCCACGTGGTTATCGTAACATTCTGCTATCGGTCAGATATCTAATAACAGATATGCATTTTTTATTTATTCAAATAGGTACGAAGCAATTTTGATGTCGCTGCCGCTGAACGCACGTTGGTATTACGAGCACGAACCGGAGCCAGGCAGCGAGGAAAGCATTCTGCTAGAAACCCTAAAAAAACCTATTGATTGGGTGTAGACTGGACTTCTAACAAACCTATTTTATTATTAGCAAACAAGCTAATGTACATTGCAAAATTCATGTCCAACGAGGCTGCATGGATTAGTATATTTTAATTGAGAAATGTGACAATATCTTACCAAGATATTATATATATATATAAAATCGCTAAATATGCTATTGCGGCATTGGTGTCGCAGCAACCAATAATTGTTATTGTTATTATAATATACAATTATTATTAGTATGAACCTTTTATTGACTAACAATGCGTAGGAAACACGGCAGGGGTAACAACCTAGCAAGGATAGCACATTGAATTACAGAAAGAAAATGCGGCGGAAAGTAATTTACAATTTACTTTTCAAATGCTAAGCATTGCCAAAGTAGTTGTGCTTTTACTCAAGTACAGACAAGCAAAACTTGCGAATGATCCTTGCTTACAGCGAAGCTGTATTGACTCTTCAAAAATCATCTTCCATATGCTTAAGCAATGATCGAGAGCAGATATGGTAATCAAAACTATAATGATGTGAACGATCATTATCATCCCAGTATCTACAACGTACACTTCTGTACGTTGTAGATACTGGGATAATAAAACGTTGACAGTGCTTACATAAGTATGTTCGGTTTACAATAATATTTTTACATTGTAATTTTAGAGTCTGTTCTAATAATGTGACTCTGTTGGATATATGCAAAGTAAGTGACTAATTACTGTTTAGTCATTAAAGGAAACTGCAAAACCACTAAGTCTTGTGCAAATTATTATGTGAAAATCTATTCTAATATTTTTACATTTTTTACTATCTAAATCTCAAGGTAAAGTACGTAGGATCTACGTAACTACATTAGAATGCTGAAAAAGATTAATGATAAGATTCGATAGAGTATTTCATCTCTTAATTGTGGGTCGCTAAAGTTCAATAAAGACACTGTTATGTTTTTTTTCTCTAAGAAAGTTATGTCTAAATAGTGTTTGCTACATATGGCGTGCCCATTCTCCATCATATATGAAAGCATCGAAAACCGCCAAGATCCTAGATGTAAACCTTTCAAAAAGAAAACTATAGACAAAGTTTTACGACCGCAGAACAAGTAACTCCTGGCTTCAAACGCTATGGCAGAATATAAATAGAGAGAACGCGGTTGAAATTACAACGGACAGCACTGTGAAGAACACTAAGTTACCAGTTGTAACCTATGTTTTAGTAAACACGCACAATCCATATACTCGAGTTATGTGAGTGACATGTAAAAATAAATGGGACCACCTTCTGAAAGGATTGGGATCTTTGAACTTGAATCCTTTAGCTAAATAGATATTGTCGATATAGCCGAAAAATAGCCGAAATGGCTTTAATTAAATATATGCCATATATGTTTCTCTAGCTGTTAGCGTCGGACTAGTTTATCACTAGCGAGCGACCTTTCTCTATAATTAACATTTATAATATTTCGTTTTCCGAGAGCTAAACAATTTACCCAAAGAACACAAATTACAGAAAGACAACAATATTCATTTAAAGAACGCAATAAGGCAAATTAACAAGATCTTATTCTCCTACTATTAAATACAATAATTTATAGCAATACCTTAAATGTTGTAATAATTCACAATGATTTAGGAAACGTATTAGTAACATTATTCTGCTGCTGCTGATTTCAATAGCGTTGCTTATACTCGTCATTTTCAGTATCCTTTTGACGTTCTGCAAAACTTTGTATATACCGATTGTTTTAAGACCTTCATTTAGAACATGCTAAATGATGTTGTATGACTCGCCCAAATGTTGTTGTTGGAGGTGTTCAGGCTTCTTACGATACATTTCCAGCAACTGCTTTAAGGACCTTCCTAATCCGTGTTATTTTTCCTATCCATCGATGCATCATATATCTATCCTTCTTTTACAAAAATTTTTCAGTGGATAGTGTATAGCAATTTCAGGTGGTGTCAAGTCTCAATTGTTAAATACATTATACTTTCGCAAACATTTGTTTAAAGGACAATGATTCGTCGTAACTAAACTACGTTAGGTTTATTCTCCGGCTCATGTCTGTTATAGAATGATAATTTACAATTGGAAACCAGACCTGCAGTGATAATTTCGTTATTAGACGAAAATTTTAAAAGTGATTCCCGAATATATTGATGACGCTCTATACAAGACATAAAAAAATTAGGTTATCGATATGTAACACGTTAATTGCAAAGACAAACAACATCAAATATAGCTAACCGCCAGCACAAATATTATGTGGATATTCCCTGTGCGCCATTCTGTCTTCGCTTTCTTAATTACTAGGTCATGGTCCAGTTCACCGTGAAGCCCTATATATGAAGTCTCAATATTCGTCTCCCTCGATTTGTCAAGTGCGGCGTTTCAAATGAGTATCCGATTGCCACAAAAGCGTGGTCAGTATTACCAACCATTTCTGTAAACCTGCAGGATAGACAGGATACGGCGAAGTTGCAGGCACACGTTTCACAGGCACACGTTTCACAGATACCCGCGCGCGCTTTGGATATAACACTAAGAAGTAACGGTAGAGCGGAGGTAATATTTTGACCAAATTCTGCTGTTTTTGACTACCTAAATTTTGATAATTTAATCAAAAATTAAGAACTTATCGTTTACCTACAGGTGCTGCTGCTGCCTTTAATACGGAACGACGTTTCTGAAAAATTTCGGTAAGGTCATGAAAAAAAACGCCGTTTTCTAAAAAAACGACTGATCCGAACGTCAAGAGATAACATCATCAAATGGCACATGGATGCAATCACTGAGCTGGTTTTGAGCCACATCTTACTATTCGTAGAAGAGCGTGCTGACGTCGACCAGACTGTAACAAATATATTTTAGGGCTATAAATATCGAATTGGCATTACCGTTGTGCGGAGGACAATGACTATATCGTTTTATGGACACCAAGATGCTAGTTTTTTGAGTCCTTTTAGGTGTCAATTGAAGGTAGCTGTTATCGTCTGGTACTTCATGCCTTTTAAGCACCAAAGCGCTAAATTGGAGTCATGCATTTTTTTTGCAGGAAATTGCTATGATGTTTTCCAATCCAGTGTCATCAATTCATTATAGCCATCTGTTAATGATATTTGGCATTTTATTCACCACTGAAGGCCAATTAGACCGCACCACCACAAGACAAAGCTTAGTTACGCTGAACCCATGCAGTACGTGCTTTCTTCCTTATCCAACGTTGAGCAGTTATCGATAATAAAGCATCACAGACTTGTTCACGGTCGCTTTTTACACTTTGCAACCTTACGAGTCGCTTAGTTTTTATATCAAATTTCTCATTATTATAAATGGCCTCATCTTTAAAGTTTTGAATCACCTCAAGGATATTGTGTACAAACCTGACAGATGATTGCAAATATATATGCTTGTTTGCCTCCTATTACAGAATACTACAACCCAAGATACTCATACGCGATCATAAATTGCGTCTGGCGTGACCTTCCCTCCAACGTAAGCCACACTTAATAATATGCCTCGCATGTGAAAATTCAATAGATAGATACTTTCACTTATCAATTCAATATTTTTTCATTTCGTACCATTTCCGTTTCCATTTCATATATGTTGCTCGTGTTAAATAATGGCGTTATTTTTCCCTTGTCCACAGTTTATTCGATTCCAGCACTCTTAATCAGAGCTGTGGTGAGGGAAAATGAAACAGCAGCTATTGATCGCATACAAAGACTACATCCATTTCATGACCGATAAATCTCTTAGAATGGAAATTAAATCACCGTCCCTGAAATTATAATCAGTTATTACTCAACAACAAAAATAATAAATCAACAATTATCACCCTTTTGTTACGATTTCACCTTTTGCAGATGTTGGAGCGATACAATACTCGTTTTAAAGAACTCGTGCAACTGGATGACGATGGAGTATTTAAGTTACTTTGTCAATCTACTGACCAGCGTGGGGATCTTATCCTTGAAGCGTTTGCTAATGAGTATACTAAGGTTCGTTTTCGCTTTTATTCAGAAAAAAGTTTTATTTTCAGACAAAAGTAACTATTGTGTCAAAACGTTTAAAACATACATCGCTAATCTACGATTATCAAGTTAATGATGATTACTTAATTAGTTTTTGAATAATCTAATTTAGATACATAAGGCTGGACATATTATGACTATTAACATTGTTTAGACGTTACCAATTTCATATGCAAATAGTGAAACAACTGCACAACAAGTCTATAACAAGCTGTGTCGTCATAAATCTTGAATGGTCTTGACTATTTACGCTTTTTTCTGTTTACGCTTTAGGAAAATGAAAAGTTGTTGTTCCTCAATGTTGTTGGCGCCTGTCATACAGAGGTTATGAATGAATTGCATCAGGTTGGGTCTGATTAAATACGAACTATTATGAGGTCCCAGGCAACGATTATATCAAGTTTATCTTCGAATAAAAATCTGATGGACTCCTGCCATATTCCAAGGCCATCTAGTTCAACTCTAGAGGACAAAAAATGCTGTCTATTCGCCAGAAGGAAACGTCTAATGGGTTTCGATAGATTTTACGAACTGCTCAAATCATCTGGGATTGAGCGATTTCCGTTGAACAATCGTGACCCTTTATGTCAATTGTACTAAGCTCTGAAAGATCAACTAAAGAGCCGTTTATGAATAATACGTATATGCGCATTGATTTTGTAATACATTTATATTTTTAATAAAAATGTGTATTCGGCACAGTTTTTCAAAAAGTTTGACTTTCTTGCCAACTACAAAAGCGACAGTCGCTGTATCAAAGATGTAAAATTCTCATCTAGATTTGCAGAACTTTTTAGCAATATGCCTACTGACATTTCAAGCTAATCAGTCATCGTTGGAACACTCAATATCACAAATTCGCCTCACGCAATGTAAAACAAGTTTTTATTGTGTTTACAGTCTAGGATACCTATGACATATCATATAATCGACAGCTTGTATCAAATAATCAGCAAGCTATATGCTACTTAAATCATTAAAACTACAACGAAGATTTGAATGAGACACAGGAATTCCTGATCGTCATTAGATTAACATATGTGTAATGGAAGAAAATGTCTGGAACAGATACAAATTTAGTCATATTTAGGATCCAATTTTTTGAATTGCAACCAAATGCATAAAATATACTTTCAACCCATATGACTCAAAAAAAAAACTCGTCGTCATTCAAAGACGATGTTTAACATCTTTATTTTTCTATTTAGTGTTTGCTTATTTCTCAGATACAGTCTGTAATAAGACAACATGTGTATTTGATTAATCATTTTTGTGCTAACAATAACAATACGGCGAACATGACTACTAAGTGGCGTCACACTAGGAGATCGATCATCTTCTCGTCAACTATATTTTGAATATGAAGAATAGAGCAAACAATTAGTCAGAATGTGAAAGCATTTATGCTTCCGCTCCCTTTCTTTAATAACTATTTTTAGAGTTTTTAAATAATAATTTACAAGAAGAAAGGTGTTGAGCCTAATGTTCAGGTTGTACTGCTCGAACACGTTTTTACTCATATTTGTTGCGTTTCTGCTATGATGGAATGCTAAAAAATACCACCTGATCGACAATAATTGACGCTTTCGTTAGACTGACAATGGGTAGTTTTGTGTAAATCGAAACAGATGATGTTGGGAGTTCATTGTACTTTCACATTGTAAGTTCCTCGTACAATAACGCGTACGAATGCTTTTAGCCCTTTATCAAAACTAAATTACACGCTGTTCCGTGCATTTGGATGAAACAGCTTGACACCAAAAGCCATTTTTGAGAATATATTGTATTTGTTTGTTATTTTTCTCCTAAACTCTTTTATAGATGAATACGACAAACAAGAGCTTAAAATTTTAGGACACCTATAAAGTCTCAACACCAGCAAACCCATCCGAGTTATTAACCGAATTATCAGAATAGTTGTGTGCTCAATCTTGACAAGGAAAAACTGCTGTAACGGCCAGACTAGCAACTCCGTAGTTCAGGCTTATGGATTCACCGGCTCAGGATCGTCATCACTATCCAAATTGGGTGGTATGTGGACTCCCATCGAATGCAAAAGGTTTTGCGCGGGGCCCGGATTTCCGCGAGCGGCAGAGGTTGATTTTAGAATGTTCTTTAGAGCTGTTAATGGAATGTCCACAGCGGGTACATCATCGTCCCAGTTCTCCAGAGCAGCACGCGGCGCCACTCGCTCAAAACTCTGTCCCACTTTCGTTCCACTGAGCTCTTTATCCATGAGCGACATGTACTGCTGCATGTCTCGAGCAAGACCCTCACTCACATCTTCGCCATAACTACTCATTGAGCTCGAGTCGTCATCGGACTCTGACGGTATTTTGAAATCGAGCACAGCGCTCAAAAGGTTTGTCATGTCATCGATTCCCACGGCGGTTGCTTCGTCCTTCTTTATTGGAACACCATGTCCGGATTGTGTTCCATTGTTGCTTGTTAAGTTGCTCAGCCCTGAGGCAGCAGTACCGGCTATGAGGCCGCCCTTTTTGCGACGCTTCGTTTTGTCCTTACTCTTGGGGCGCCGGCGTCGTGAGCTTGAGGATGCCGTTTTTGCCACTGGCGCCGTGGCACCGTCGAAATTTGAAACATGTTTCATAAAGTCTTCAAGTCCCTGCGTTATCTGCTGGGTGAGTGACTCTTCGTGATAGGCCTCTTGTAGTCCTCGACTAGGAGCGCCTTGCGTGTACTGCGCGAGAAGCTTATTGAGCTCAGCATCATCCAGTTCAAGCCAATGTTCGCTATCTGGCGGAGTAAGATCTTTCTCTTCTTCGATAAGTCCAGCCATATCGGGTTGGAGAGCCTTGACGCGCTCTAGAATATCAGGCATCGGTTGATGACTAGTCTCCGGATCCTCCCCATCGTTATCCTGTTGTAGAAAGTAGCCCTTAGCTTTATCATATAATTCCTTATACTTTTCTGAGCATTCAAGGTTTCCCTGAAAGTAGTTTCGTTCCTTGAGACGACGAATGTAATAGAGGAAGCGCGTATTCGTATCGATTGACGTCTTTTTTTCTTCAAGAGCGACGCAAAGAATTTCCAGACCACAGGCAAGTTTCATGCCAAGGTCGGCTTCAATAAACTCGGGACTGTTGCGGTTAGTTCGGGCTCCTGGTATTTTCCAACCCGTCAATGGATTTGGGACACACCGCTCATGACGCAATTGTCCATAATTAAAGCGTGTCAAAAGCAATGATCGGCGTACGAGGACCTCTGGTGGAAAATGTTTCATGGCGCGAAGTGCTCGATCGTCAAGAGGTGTGCGAAGGGCAAACGCCCGCGCAGCGTCAGCGACGAGAGATGGATCTTCACGCAGAAGAGCTGCGGCTCTCACCGGGAGGGCAACGGTGGCTCGGTGCAATTTTGTCGCGCGCATCATCTTGACACTCTCAAAGTCCTTGGTCTTGCCGCGAATGGCCTGCTGTATGGCAGCTGATGCGACACTTTGTGCCGGAGTGGCTCGCACAAAGGAAACGGCACGTTTAACTGTCAAGTCAGCCTCAGGGATGGCACTTTCTGGTACAATATGCACAACACCTCGATGCAAATATACTCGATTATCACCATTTTCCGGTGTTAACCAACGCGGAAGCACGTTGGCCGCTTCGATTAGAAATATATTCCCATCTTCATCATCTACCTGAACAACGAGGTCGCTGTCGTCGCGGGTCAACTCGAAGAACAGATGTGCCACAAACCACTCATCATCTACATTCTCGCCGTAAAATACGCTGCCTGCAAGATGCGGCTCGAGTCCAGGTTCAGTCGCTGAATCAACAACTTTCAGGTTAAACCGTTCTACATGCCACATATAATCAGCAACCCGTACACGGACCTTGTCCTCAATGGCGGCCAAACGTCGGTCCAGAATAGCCCTTGGTCCCAGGGCACTGCCTTTGGAATCAGAAATAATGCCAGCGTTTTCTCCCAATGAACAAAACACCCGGTAGCGTACTGTATCCTCTGCGCTATGTACGGCTTGTGCCATTGTTAATAGCGAGGCGATGAAGCAACTGTCTTTATATATAGAATGATGCAATTAGTATTAATTTGCCCTAGCTATGACGTTTACGCTGATATACAGCAAGCACAAGCTTCTGTTGTAAAATACCCCACAATAGTTAAAGATCAAATAGTTTTATTCATCGGACAAAACGTCTTTTTTGCCGGTCATGTCCGAACGTCAATATGGTGAAAGAATTCCTTGCTCCTTCGAATACTCGGGTGGCGCCATGTTTGTTTTGAACATAGAGCCCCACTTTCTGAGGAGCGCGCCGGTATTTAAGCTTACCCACTGTATTTTTGTAACTCAGAACAGGCTTCTGAGTAAGTTCCATATCTAATTGTTCAGTAGGTACATTAAACGACTCAAGAAAGTGCTTCTAGAGAATGAAGAGCAGAAGCACATACTCACGACCGAATTTTCGAAAACTTTTGAAGACATCCTATGACAATAGCGTTGCCATCGCGCTTTTATATCACCACATTTTTTTTTTTATATATAGTTTACTGATTGTTCCGCGACCGAAGTATCAGTAAAAATCTTCTAGGAAAACCATAGACATCCTTTTATTTTATGTACATACATTTTTCTTGGATTGCTATATAAATATTATTGATTTTTTTTTTATATTGATATTTTGTGATAAAATGTACGATATTTTTAGTTACCTCATTTAGTAATACAATGACATCCTGGAAATTGAGTATGCGTGGTCATTCGGCCTCAGGTGCTACATGTGCTGCATCTTATTAAATGTATCTTAATTTGAAAACTTGTTACCTTCAGACAGCCCGATAGGCGTCTGTGAAAAATGTTTGGGATCAATTGCACAATAAGGTCCATTCTTATGAGTTCTTTTGGGCTGAGGCAGAACTGACGACCTATTGTTAAGAGGTTACGTATGAATTAAACAGGTAGTACTAAAATCAAATGAACCCGAATAGCCCGGTTTTTTCCGCCAATCAAATTCTAAGGCCAAAATCAGAGTCAATGACATGCTTAAAAAAGAACCCACAGTGATATCACGTAAAAGTCAACCTATTAGTTTCTATGTAGCTGTGAAAAAAAATTGTAAGACTTTTTCGTGTTAAACCAAATGCTTTGAACCTTTTCCATTATATGATTAAAATCATATTTTTGCGGTTACGAATCTGTACCTTGAGCAATTCAATCTGCATAAAATCTGAGCAATCTCATACCACACCCCTCGATCGCTTTCGATCCTTTAAGGATGAAGTTCAATCAAACTAAATAGAAACGCCATATACATATATCTCTATGCTTTGAGTTTTACGTCTGGTATCACCATTAAGCATTCCATCATACAGACAGCTAACTCTTGCCAGCACAAAACCATGTCTGTCTATACCCGGTTCAAGCCTGCACCACACACCACTACCACATGTATACATTTACGTGCAACATTCTAGGTCGCATATTAATTGTATTATGGGTGTTCCCTCTATCCTTAACCAAACTTCGTTCTTTTCTGTGTATTATAATCATATATCTAATACTTCCATCCAAAACTTTCAAGCATCTTGCTTCGCTTACCTTCCATCTAAAGCATCTTTATTGAATTTCACTCCCTTTCTAAGGTTGATTTGCCGTCAACGTTTGCATCTCGCAACTAAAATAAAATTTAACTGTATTTTGAAACCTGGCGGGTCCGCGTTCGTCAGGCCGACCCACTCTTATCGTCAACTCGTTGCGCGCGCAGCCTTCCGGTGGGCAAGAGATAGCCCGCATCCCAACCCACAGCCGAGCGACAGAATTGATGCCGTAGTACTGCGTGTTTATTTACGTTTTTGCTTTCATGTGCTACGGCCACTACGAATATTTATCCGGTTTAATGGAAGTTAATAATGCAGCGAGAGCAGTAGAGGTTTTAAGTAGCAGCAGCTTTCTACGGCGGTCCTTTAGCTGACATTGATTGTGATTACCTGCGGTGCTGGATGCAGCGCTGACAGTGGAGGTTCTATCCGTGGCCTACATGAAACGAAGCTGTAGTAAAGGCCATACGATAGTTTTCTCTGTCCACCTCTTTGATTAAAGAACAGTATTCCTAACAACTTCATCTGCGCATGAGGAGACCGGTTTATCCAACCAAAATTAGGAGTTGAGATACCGCTAGTTCGACCACTGATACTACGTTTAATCGCAAGAACCGAAACAACAACAAGAGCAAATGGAATCACCGGCTAGCAGTTTGAAGCTATGGAATTAAACAAACACGTAATCGGTATGAAGACCCTAGTAGGGAAATCAGCGCCTTTTGATTTGTTCAGTGCTTTTAGTCATTTCTTATAAACCTATTGCTACTTTTTGTATATATATATAAGCTGATTGTGCTTTCTCATCCGAAATGGCTGGAGGACAACAGGTAGGCAAAAGTGTTTTTGAAAATATCTACATTTATTGAAGCGCACTGTTGTCGCTTCATGGTTATTACCCAAGCACTCTGGAGTCATCAACCGACGCGGAATTTCACCGAGTCTCACTACTTTTTCTGTCCTTGAGCGTGGCTATTCTAGCCCCGACGCGTTATTATCTGGACGCCGTATTGCCTGAACTTTGCGCTAGAACGGCGAGCCGGTGCGCAGACCGCCGCAAGCTGTGATTGCAATTGAAATAGTAGAAAGCTAGGCGATTCAGACTAGTAGTGGCCATCTGCTCATAGCTAGTGATTTTTTGGTTCTCACAATAAATTAGTAGCTCAGACTGGCCTTAGACTTCGTCCTGGCGAAGTCAATTTATCACAGCGAGCAGTGCATGAGCACCATCTTCATTACGATAAGAACCTGGTGTTTACAATATCTTCACCTCATTGGTATCAAGCGGAAAGGTGCTCCGCTTCCGATAGAATGTATATACACGAAAAGATCCGACCTCGCAGGCGGGTGACCACATCTCACAACGAGTGCGAAGACTCGACTGCGGAGGACCGTGACGAACGGGAAACTGACGAAGGTAAGTGGGAACGTTACGTATCTATGTATGATTGAGCACAGTATACGAAAACGCATTAAGAAGCCTTCAGGAGTATATAATACAGCTTTGAAGCTCTAACAAGCAGTTTCTATGTGCATGGAATATTTAATATATTAATTAAGACAATATTCCCAATGAAGTATTTGTATTCGAAGGTCGATACTGTGCAATCGTCTGTTTAGAATAATGATCTGTGTAGAAGAAAGATGAAAATAAGCACAAATGTTGCTAACCTTTGCAGAAATAAGAGATCGAAGTGGCCTGTATATTAAAGTGCTCAGCGTGATTCAATACTCAACAGATTTAAGGGCATTGTATATCACGTTGCTAATGTTTATAAAGTATATTCATAAACGTTGACAATCAGTAGCCCTATAATTTTTTATGTTTTTTTAAAGTATTGCTCAAATTTTAAGTGATGTATAGTTCTTCCGCGTTTTGGCCTGTGTTGCCTGTTCTTTCTCTAAGTAAACAAAAGTTTGCCAGCCACAACCCACTGTAGGCCCACCAATGCGTAACGACACCAAAGGCTGCCAGACCTACCTTTTAAGTCGATAAGTAATTCAGCAAGTGGTAGGTTTGCACCTAAATACACCATTGATTCACATACGTATCAAATCAGGAAGAGTCCTGTAGTACTCCCTAAACGATCAGTAAACGTGCTTAACGAGACAAAACTCCTATGAATAAAAAACTTCATACAAGCCTGTTTTCGTCATGTTTCATCAACGGCCGTGTTGGTTGCAGCGACTGAAAATTATCTCAAATAATACAAAACGTTCCTGGCTTATTGTTTAAAACGTCAGCTAAGCGACTCTGCACATATTGGAACTGATTATTTTTCTCATCTATAAGAGTGAAGATGTTCGTAAATAATATTTCTTCAGTTGTAGAAGAGATGCAGTCAGATTACACTGTCAAAGAAGCTGGAGCCAATTTTCATAGTGAAGTATGAGTTACTCATAGTTCACAATATCACGCGAATTTGCTTTCGCTGTCTCTATTTATAGAGTATGTTAGACGAATCGATCTAAAAACGAAATCGTATGTTTTACATTGCTTGTTTTTTAATGCAGCCTGGCAATGATGTTAGCTATGACTTTTTGAAAGCCGCCGACTTTTGTTTGTGTTTATCACAGGTAACTACAGATATATTTGCTAGTGAAGGTGTACCTCTAGAGGTAAAAATTTCTCTAATCTATCTAATATATAGAGTTTCAGGTGCCGGAATACAATTGGACAATAATAATAATATGATTGTATACTTTATTTAGTCTAGTGATAGGGCTGGAACACAGTTACAGCCCAGAAATGATCGTTGCATTCTTTGCTTGCATTTGTTACATTTTTCACATAAATTTGCGATATATTATTGCGGAGTTTATATTCACCTTTCCCCTCAAAATGGCTATTCGGTACCAATATTTTTCCAAATTTGAGTTAACCCGGATCTTTTATGTTTTTACGCAAAAAAGACAAATCTCTAATTACTCCAATAGTTTGCTGTCTTCGCATTCCAGTGCACAAAATCTTCTAACTGCGCTTTAAGTACGGATAAATTTGTTTTTCTGCTTTTGGTAGTGTCAAATTTAGAGAACATCAAATAGTCTGAACGCACCGTTTACTCTTGAAACGTACGCGCCTTATAAACAAAAGTATTCTTTCGACATTTCTCACACTAGAATATTATCTTCATGTATATTTTTAAAATTCCTTGATCTCTAGCTCATCTTAATATCTAAGAGCTTTAACGTCTATGAAATCCAACGCAGTTCGCCGGGCGCTGTGTGAACATCTGTTCCGGCAACAGCTGGGAACAGGCGCACTCAAATGATGATCTTTGCTTGCTCTGGCCATTTCCTGGGTGGAAAGAACAATTATGAAGAGCGCACAAAAGCAGTGGTCGTTTGCGTAACCCATTCAGAATACTGGCGGCATCGGTAGTAACCTTAAACATCTTCGAGCTCTGCTTATACCTTGTTGAAGAGAGTAAAACGGGGTCTCTGCAACGAAGAGTCGAGAAAATGTTGTTGATGAAAGCATTTAGTTGCTCACGTAAGTGTGGATCTAAAGACAAAGCCAAATTGTAATAACCCAATAAAATAATTATACGGTTCAAAAATCGATTAACTTACATAGAAGGATGCAGAAATCGGCTATATATGTATACATATATTTAAAACTGCGGACGGTGTTTCAGCATATCGGTTACCAAGCAATTTTATATTTGACCTAAAAACCTTATTAGTCATAATTTCCGAAACATATTTTTGTTAAGCTATTTGCGTTGTTGAGTTTTCAATGCCACCCCGTTATCGATAGATTTAATGAATTTAATTTTAAGACATTTTTTAATAATAGTAGAATACTTT